TCTCTCTCTCTCTCTCTCTCTCTCTCTCTCTCTCTCTCTCTCTCTCTCTCTCTCTCTCTCTCTCTCTCTCTGTCTGTGCGTGTGTGTGTGTGTGTTAGTGCCACAGCCCGCCCTTTTCTATCAGGCGCGCACACACTCCTACCACACACAGACTTCCTGATGCGTCGGTGAAAGTTCGACGAACAGTCATGCTTCTTCTGTGGAGTTCGTATACAGCAAACATGACAACACACGCCCCACACACACCCACACCCCACACACACACACAGATGCGTCGGGGTGAAAGTTCAACGAACAGTCATGCCCTCCCTGGTCCCGCTTCTAGGTCAGATTCAGGACCAGGAAGGGCGCGATTTTATTTTTGATGGTGCTGCTGGCCGGAGCGGGAGGGCGACTGCAGAGATCAAGAAGGGGATTCATTCAAAGCAGAAGAGAAGAAAGGAAAAAAGAATGAAAATGGAAATGAAAACGAAAATGATGAAAAGCATTCAAACTTCAAAGATGAAAAAAAAATGAACAGGAGGATTCAAAGAACATGGGGAGGATTATACCTATATCATATCATATATAACCTGCGCTTCGACTTCTTTGTTCCTTTTCCTTTCTCTCTCTATACAGTTTGTTTGTCACAGCTCCCCTCGTTTTTTGTCCTCTTCTCCTCTTCTCCCTCTCTGCAAACGGTTTACCGGGCAGCTCTGTTTGACGATATAGGGTCTCGCTCCACTACACAACATTGTACATGCATTTGGACGTTTTCTTGCCCGAATACATTCACAACGTTGGAATCGTCCGAATGCACCTGGTCCCTCACACGTCCAAATGCATGTACAGAGTTGTGTAGTGGAGCGAGGCCCATATACTTCGAACCTGGCTCTTTCTTACTTTTCCTTACAAGGTGGAATTGTGTTCCTGCCCATTTTTTTCCCGGCAAGATTTTGGGGGAGCAAGGTCCCACTAGCAAACAGTATTGGATGAAGCGCCTGCATCTGGACGGGTTTTGAGCAGAGATGCAGAAATGCAAATCAATCGCGATTTCCTGCACCCCTCCACAAACACGTCCAGATTCGGACGTAAAATCCAATCCCCTTGGCTAATGGGACGGGCGCCCCCTCCCCCCCCCGGGTGACCACTGCGACATATATAGGGGTTAAATCAAATCGGCCTTCCAAAAAAAAAAAAAAAAAAAAAAAAGGGGGTGTNTTTTTTTTTTAATCAGGTCCTTATGGCCCTGGCTCCGTTCCATTCTGGGGAGCAGCAGTCCCGTTCCTATTCCACCGGCAAGTCAGAACAAAGTATTTCTGCTTTGATTTTCGTCACAGGTACCTTGAGGGCATCAGTAACCGGTGGTCCCCACCACCTCAGAGGGGTATCAGTTGTCGGGCAGTCGTTGATGCTTAACCACAACCGGGGTTAAGGTGGATTATCACTTACAGTGTAATCAGTCAGTTAGGGGATTCTGCAGACTGTTGAGGGTTCAGCCTCTACTGATGGATGAGTCGGTGAAACTCCGACGAAACAGTTTGTCACAGCCCCTCCCTCGTTTGTTGCCCTCTTCTCCCCCTCCCTCTCTGCCGACGTTTTACCGCGCAGAGTTCTGTTTGACGATATATAGAGAGGGAGAAGAGGACAACAAACGAGGGGCTGTGACAAACTGTTTCGTTGGAGTTTGACCGACTCATCAGGAGGCTGAACCCTCAAAAACAGTCTGCACAATCCCCTAACTGATTACACTGTGAGTGATAATCCACCTTAACCCCGGCTGTGGTTAAGCATCAACGACTGCCTGTGACGAAAATCAAAGCAGACTATCACTCACCCACACCAGACGGAAACTCAACATATGCATATCGTCAGACAGAACTGCCCGCTAAAGCGTGGGCAGAGAGGGAGGGAGAAGAGGACAACAAACTAGGGGCTGTGACAAACTGTTTCGTCGGAGTTTCACCGACTCATCAATCAGTAGAGGCTGAACCCTCAAAAACAGTCTGCACAACCCCGGTTGTGATTAAGCATCAACAACTGCTCGACAACTGATACCCCTCTAAGGTGGTGGGGACCACCAACCACTGCCCTCAAGCCACCTGTCACAGAAATCAAAGCATATGTTCACAATAGGGATACAGGTGGCATCGCTGCCGACAGTGGGCCGTGGCATCGCTGTCGACAGTGGGCCCGAAAACTTACATGGTTGTAGCGGTGTCGACAAAGTCGATGCCTGTCTCTTATACACATCTAGATGTGTATAAGAGACAGGTGTAGGATAGCGACGTTGGTCGTCAAACAGACACGTGTATACCGTCAAACAGACACGTATATACTGTCAAACAGACAGGCCCGCTGGTGCTATGAAACAAAAACACACACAGGCATTAAACCACCAGTACATTTCCCCGCCATTTCTCTACGACACAGCCGTGCTCGCACCGCAAGTTTCACGGGTAGGCCTACCAGAGCAGAAGGGCTCGCAGCACCACGTAAAAGAAGGCCCGCACCAGTTTCTTCACCCGAGCCTAAGCTGAGCTCTTACTGGTGTACGCCGTAAGAGCTTTCCTATTCAGGCCTGAGGCCGTAGTGAAGGCGGAAGGCTTTCCAGTTCGGGGCTGGGCCAGTAGCGAAGCCGGAATGCCCAAGTCCCAGTTGGAGGCTCGCAAGCCTTGGAAGGTAGGTTTGTCAACTTAGGTTCGTGTCAACCAGCGGTTCAAACTGCCAGTACACGGTCCCAGCCTTGCAGAAAACTGCAAGCTGCCGACTCCAAACTTTTCGGGGGCTCGGGACTATCGGACCACAATGGCTGGCGGCGCCAGCCAAAAAAGAAAAGAAGCGTGCCGCAGGCAGTTCAGAAAAGCTTGGCGCGCAGTGCAGCGCCTCCGGGCCCAAGTGTACTGGTAGTTTAAACCACCAGTACTTCCCAGGCACTTTTCTCTCGGGGCTGGAAATGCACTGCACGCCAAAAAAAAATAAGAGCTGGCGTGGGCCTCCTTTCAGCTGGCGGAGCACTTTCTCTGCTCACCCACTGTCCGACCTTTCTCTGAACACAGAGAGAAGCACTTTTTTTCCTTTAAAATTTTGGGCTATTTCTCAGTCTGTGCGTCATCCTGTGCATGGGTCATCCTCAGGCTCTGCACATGCATACATATATGGTGCACACCATTTTATTTCGTTTATTTATTTATTTATTTCCTCGTGCAGGGGCCATTCTGGGACATCTATCACAACACCAAATCACGGTCCACTCTGGTCCCATTTGGGTTTGGCCGCGCCTGAAACTGTTCCAGCTTGGCTGCACCTTTTTACCTTTAACGCCGCCACGGCATGAGTTGGATCCCTCGACGTCAAGACTTCTACGACATGAGGGAGAGAGTCGAACTTGGGCTGCTTCCAACCCTCCTCGATCCCATTCAGCTCCTCCTCCACCCCCTGAATTTTTTTTAACCAGACACAAAACAAATTAAGTTGCAGTTAGATACTCGCAGAGCACAAGGACAGAATACATCTTCAAAACCGCATTGCAATTCGGCGAAAAAGGGGCACTTGTTTTTACATTTCGGCCTCGCTCCACTACTCTCCACATGCACCAAAGACAAAAGATATGACAATGTATCTTTCCATGTTCTAGCGGAGAATTCGGTCTCATTTTGCACATCTGGAGAGTAGTGGGGCGAGACCCTTTCTGGAGGACATGGAAAATGGTCCTTTGAAAAAACGACTAGCGTAGCTCAGTTGGTACACCTATCACCTGTTGAAAAACAGACCTGAGTTCAAATCCCGATGGAAAAAGATGAGTTAAAAATACCTCTGAATTTACTTGGGGCCGGTCAGTTCCAAGCTGACATCTCAAGGCCTTCGCCCTTTTAAAGGATCCAAAAAAAAAAAAAAAAAAAAAGGGGGCGGGGCTTTAATCTGGGCATTATAAAGTAATATAAACCAGACAGAAAATTTGTGTTGCAGTCAGATACGCACACAGGTCAAGGACAGACAAACGCCGCGGTCCCACTAGCAAAGAGGATTGGATAAATAGCCTGAATCAGGTTGTGTTTTAAGCAGAGATGCATAAAAGCAGTTCAATCTCGACTTTCCGCACCTTTCCACAAACAAGCCCAGATTCAGGTGTTCTATCGAATCCTCTTTGCTAGTGAGACCTCGCCCAAGGTGTTGTAAAAGCCGAGTAGCAATTTGGCCCACAAGGGACACTTGTTTTTGCATTTGGAGGACATTGAAAATGGCCATTTACATAATTTAAATTACCCTCGAAGGCTCATTTTGGGGAGAAATCAGGGCCCTCGATTTCTGCACATGATGAGGGTCCTGACGATTAAACTGTAACATTCGCGGATCAGATAAATTTAAAACACATATTGATTTTCCCAAAGAAAAAGCCACTGCACTGACAATTTTCACGGAAAGAAATAAAATTTCAAAAACTTGAAAAATTCAAAAAAAAAAAAAAGGTCGGCTTTAACATGGTCCATTCATAGGATATTCATTTTTGCAAACGAACTTAACTGTACTGATAATCTCATCTGTAAAAAAAAAAAAAAAAAAAAAAACTAGGGTGTCTTTCTCATACACCCGGGCACCCAACTTGTGCCCGGAGACATTCCCGGGCAGGCATGACCATTGGGCAAATCGCAATGCAAACGACTTTTGGCTGAGGGTCACATCAGCATTCTTCATTGAATCCAAGATTTAAAAAAAAAAAAAATTCAGACTAAGGCACCCCCCTTTTTCACCTTTAGCAACTTTTTAAACCGAGTTATACCCCTCTCCCCCCCCCCCCCCCCCCCCCTTGCCAGCCATTACTGAAAAATAGGAAAAAGCCCAGATTGGGGCTCCTCTAGGGATGCGCGGAAAACCCCATCCACCCATAAAAAAAATAAAAAAAAAACAGTTATTCCCACGTCTGGGTACCCCGGGCGTCAGACTCCCACGTAGCCCTAGGTCTTAACCCAACTGCAGTTTTAACATCCAAGCCAATCCCATTCTGCATAACACACACTGTTTGTTTGTTTTTTTCCCTCTGCTTAAAGCACACTGTTGATCCCTCCAGTGTAAAGACGATCTAACACACACACCTAGACTTAGACAAGAATTTTGCAACAATTTTTGAAAGCATGCCAGCGGCGTGTCTGGAGTGCATTTTTTGGCTGTGATAGACCTTTCTTTGTTTCGTGGGTGTTTTGCTGGCTTGTGATGGGGTGTGAACCGACAGTCTGTAGAGTTTTCCATCTGGTGTGGGTGAGTGATAGTGTGCTTTTTTTTTCTTTTTTCTTTTCT